CTAACTTGAACCCGGATTCGAACTCGTAACGATCGGGTTAGCAATCTATCGCTCGCCACCGCCGGCCCATTCAAATGTTGATAAAAATCATGCAGTGGCGTAGCCAGGATCGTCTCAAGGGGGGGGGGGTCCAATCTTTTACCCGGGGACAAACTTTCGATTTGCACCCCCCCCCCCTCAAACTTTGATTTGTACCCCCCCATACTTTTTATATCTATACCGAGAGGTCTAAGACCCCCCCCCCCTACCCCCCCCCCCTCCTGCCTACGCCACTGAAATCATGTTATTCATTTTCCACCAAGAAGCGACGATGAAAGATCCAAGACTGAAGTTCCAGCTCACTATGATCTCATGATGTCCAGGCTTAAAGCAGCGAGTGTAGCTGTGCTACTCCTTGTGTGGTTACATGGCGCATCGGCAGGTGAGATGTATGTTGTGGCAGGTGAGATGTATGTTGTGGCAGGTGAGATGTATGTTGTGGCAGGTGAGATGTATGTTGTGGCAGGTGAGATGTGTGTTGTGGAAGGTGAGATGTATGTTGTGGCAGGTGAGATGTATGTTGTGGCAGGTGAGATGTATGTTGTGGCAGGTGAGATGTATGTTGTGGCAGGTGAGATGTATGTTGTGGCAGGTGAGATGTATGTTGTGGCAGGTGAGATGTATGTTGTGGCAGGTGAGATGTATGTTGTGGCAGGTGAGATGTATGTTGTGGCAGGTGAGATGTATGTTGTGAGATGTATGTTGTGGCAGGTGAGATGTATGTTGTGAGATGTATGTTGTGGCAGGTGAGATGTATGTTGTGGCAGGTGAGATGTATGTTGTGGCAGGTGAGATGTATGTTGTGAGATGTATGTTGTGGCAGGTGAGATGTATGTTGTGGCAGGTGAGATGTATGTTGTGGCAGGTGAGATGTATGTTGTGGCAGGTGAGATGTATGTTGTGGCAGGTGAGATGGATGTTGTGGCAGGTGAGATGTATGTGGTGGCAGGTGAGATGTATGTTGTGGCAGGTGAGATGTATGTTGTGGCAGGTGAGATGTATGTTGTGGCAGGTGAGATGTATGTTGTGGCAGGTGAGATGTATGTTGTGGCAGGTGAGATGTATGTTGTGGCAGGTGAGATGTATGTTGTGGCAGGTGAGATGTATGTTGTGGCAGGTGAGATGTATGTTATGGCAGGTGAGATGTATGTTGTGGCAGGTGAGATGTATGTTGTGGCAGGTGAGATGTATGTTGTGGCAGGTGAGATGTATGTTGTGGCAGGTGAGATGTATGTTGTGGCAGGTGAGATGTATGTTGTGGCAGGTGAGATGTATGTTGTGGCAGGTGAGATGTATGTTGTGGCAGGTGAGATGTATGTTGTGGCAGGTGAGATGTATGTTGTGGCAGGTGAGATGTATGTGGTGGCAGGTGAGATGTATGTTGTGGCAGGTGAGATGTATGTTGTGGCAGGTGAGATGTATGTTGTGGCAGGTGAGATGTATGTTGTGGCAGGTGAGATGTATGTTGTGGCAGGAGAGATGTGTGTTGTGGCAGGTGAGATGTATGTTGCGGCAGGTGAGATGTATGTTGTGGCAGGTGAGATGTGTGTTGTGGCAGGTGAGATGTATGTTGTGGCAGGTGAGATGTATGTTGTGGCAGGAGAGATGTATGTTGTGGCAGGTGAGATGTATGTTGTGGCAGGTGAGATGTATGTTGTGGCAGGTGAGATGTATGTTGTGGCAGGTGAGATGTATGTTGTGAGATGTATGTTGTGGCAGGTGAGATGTATGTTGTGGCAGGTGAGATGTATGTTGTGGCAGGTGAGATGTATGTTGTGGCAGGTGAGATGTATGTTGTGGCAGGTGAGATGTATGTTGTGGCAGGTGAGATGTATGTTGTGACAGGTGAGATGTATGTTGTGGCAGGTGAGATGTGTGATGTGGCAAGTGAGATGTATGTGGTGGCAGTTGAGATGTATGTGGTGGCAGGTGAGAAGTATGTGGTGGCAGGTGAGGTGTATGTTGTGGCAGGTGAGATGTATGTTGTGGCAGGTGAGATGTATGTTGTGAGATGTATGTTGTGGCAGGTGAGATGGATGTTGTGGCAGGTGAGATGTATGTGGTGGCAGGTGAGATGTATGTTGTGGCAGGTGAGATGTATGTTGTGAGATGTATGTTGTGGCAGGTGAGGTGTATGTTGTGGCAGGTGAGATGTATGTGGTGGCAGGTGAGATGTATGTTGTGGCAGGTGAGATGTATGTTGTGGCAGGTGAGATGTATGTTGTGGCAGGTGAGATGTATGTTGTGGCAGGTGAGATGTATGTTGGGGCAGGTGAGATGTATGTTGTGGCAGGTGGGATGTATGTGGTGGCAGGTGAGATGTATGTTGTGGCAGGTGAGATGTATGTTGTGGCAGGTGAGATGTATGTTGTGGCAGGTGAGATGTATGTTGTGGCAGGTGAGATGTATGTTGTGGCAGGTGAGATGTATGTTGTGGCAGGTGAGATGTATGTTGGGGCAGGTGAGATGTATGTTGTGGCAGGTGAGATGTATGTTGTGGCAGGTGAGATGTATGTTGTGGCAGGTGAGATGTATGTTGGGGCAGGTGAGGTGTATGTTGTGGCAGGTGAGATGTATGTTGTGGCAGGTGAGATGTGTGTTGTGGAAGGTGAGATGTATGTTGTGGCAGGTGAGATGTATGTTGGGGCAGGTGAGGTGTATGTTGTGGCAGGTGAGATGTATGTTGTGGCAGGTGAGATGTGTGTTGTGGAAGGTGAGATGTATGTTGTGGCAGGTGAGATGTATGTTGTGGCAGGTGAGATGTATGTTGTGGCAGGTGAGATGTATGTGGTGGCAGGTGAGATGTATGTAGGCGTAAGCGTGGGCATGCGCGTGGGTGTAGGTGTAGTTGTAGGTGTAGGTGTAGGTGTAGGTGTGGGTGTGGGTGTGGGTGTGGGTGTGGGTGTGGGTGTAGGTGTAGGTGTAGGTGTAGGTGTAGGTGTAGGTGTAGGTGTAGGTGTAGGTGTAGTTGTAGGTGTAGGTGTAGGTGTAGGTGTAGGTTTAGGTGTAGGCTTAGGCGTAGGTGGAGGTGGAGGTGGAGGTGTAGGTGTAGGTGTAGGTGTAGGTGTAGGTATAGGTGTGGGTGTGGGTGTGGGTGTAGGTGTCATAGCAAGAGACTTACAAACTTACAAATTTTTATAACTGTTACATTTTCCTCATACAGAAGCAACGTTTTTAACATGCATCTCCAATTGTGAAAATAAAACCGACGGTAACTACGTTATATGCGGAGACAAGTGTGAACAGGGCTATTTTCTGGCGTGTCACAATGGAAACGGAAATGAAATGTGAGAGTGCACAAATCCAGCCAGTGTTTTTCCAGACTTTTTTCTCCAGGGGGGGGGGGGGGTGGCACTTGAAATTTTCGGGGGGGGGGGGGTGGGGGGGCTGTAGACTTTCTTCAGGGGGGCGGGCACTGTTAAAAGTATATATTTTCTATATAAATTATATAAATTTCATTTCGTTCTGGGGGGGGGGGGGGGCGGTAAAATTTTTTCGAGATGCCTGGAAGAAACTCTGAATCCAGCACTTACCAATCGTAACTGTACTTCAGGATTGGTCTCTACTCACTTCTAAGCCAGCTTATTTGAGAATTATTTAACACTAAGTTAGGTTGAAATTTAAAGAAATTATACCCTAGTTTTTTAATATTGTATGTTATTTTGCAGTAAGAGTACGAGATAATTATGAAATTAAAATACGGTCATGATTTAGGCCGTGTACCAATTTAAACAATTTAAAAAAAATAAATTATAATTAAAACATTATTTAACACTAAGTTAGGTTGAAATTTAAAGAAATTATACCCTAGTTTTTTAATACTGTAGGCCTATGTCAATTTGCAATAAAAGTACGAGATAATTATGTAATTAAAATGCGATTCTGACTTAGGCCGTGTGCTTTGGGCATGTACCACTTTAAAAACGGCACCCAGTACAACGCTCGACTCATCTTTGACCCGTCTATGGATGCTTGTACTTACAGTAAAGAAATCTGCAGCACTCCGTCATTCCAAGTCAGTAAGTCCTTGTTTTAGCTACTCTCATCAACATCTGCAGCACTCCGTCATTCCAAGTCAGTAAGTCCTTGGTTTAGCTACTCTCATCAACATCTGCAGCACTCGGCATTCCCAGTCAGTAAGTCCTTGGTTTAGCTACTCTCATCAACATTTGCAGCAGTCCGGCATTCCCAGTCAGTAAGTCCTTGGTTTAGCTACTCTCATCAACATTTGCAGCAGTCCGGCATTCCCAGTCAGTAAGTCCTTGGTTTAGCTACTCTCATCAACATCTGCAGCACTCGGCATTCCCAGTCAGTAAGTCCTTGGTTTAGCTACTCTCATCAACATCTGCAGCACTCGGCATTCCCAGTCAGTAAGTCCTTTGTTTAGCTACTCTCATCAACATCTGCAGCAGTCCGGCATTCCCAGTCAGTAAGTCCTTGGTTTAGCTTATACCATCAACATCTGCAGCACTCGGCATTCCAAGTCAGTAAGTCCTTGGTTTAGCTACTCTCATCAACATTTGCAGCACTCCGGAATTGCCTGCGCTTTACTGTCTGGTGGAGTTGTCTCACGGTTGGTGATCAAGACATATTTTCAGCGGGGTGTTGTGGGATTTTCACCTGGGGTTAGGCTGTATGTATCGGGGGGGGGGGGGGACATCAACAACCACAGCATGTGATCTAAACCCGCAACTTACAGGATATATTTCGTATTATAAACACGGCGACGAAATGACATACCAGGTAGAAAACAGTGGCGTAGGCAGGGGGGTCATAACCCCCCATAGACCCCTCGGTATATATATAAAAAGTATGAGGGGGGTGCAAATCGAAAGTTTGAGGGGGGGGGGGGTGCAAATCAAAAGTTTGAGGGGGGGGGGGGTGCAAATCGAAAGTTTGTCCCCGGGTAAAAATTGGAAACCCCCCCCCACCCACCCCCTTGAGACGATCCTGGTTACGCCACTGGTAGAAAATAATTTCGTATTTTGTATCTTATTACACATTTTAGCGTCCGAACCTTTTTATTAAAAAGAGCAAGTTTTTTTTTTTATTTTCCTTATTTTCATTGCATTTGAAAGCTTGTTATTATAAAAGTTTTTAGAGTTTTATTTTATTTCTCCCTTCAACCAACAGGAACTTGTGTGGCCTACGGTTGCTCGTACCGTAAAGATGGGCTCTACGCATTGTGTGGCGAGCAATGTCTTGAGGGGTATTATGCGGAATGCGAGAGAGGAATCTTGAAAAAAGTGTAAGATCATTACCTTAGATCATTTAGTCAAGATATCAATACTAGACGGGACGGTGGGAAGAGTATGTTTGCTAACTCATAGAGTCCCGAGTTCGGATCCCTGGGCAGATAATGCTTTTTAAAATTGTGAACGGAAGCTCTTCTATGAGAGAAAAACATCAAAATGAAACAACTACTGCCTTGTTGTTTGAACTTGAGTGGATGAACACTAGGGAAGTACTCCCCAAGCTAAAAACTCCAGCTATAACTGGTTGCCACGTAATTCTTACCCAAGAACTTGACCTTCCAAGCATCATAAAAAATAAAAGTAAAGTTACTCATTCAAACTTAGAAGTCATTGGACAGATGAAGTATATGGATGGGTAGCCAAGCCGCCTTTATTTTTTTTAACATGAGCAGTGTTTCTTTGAGACTTTTTTCTTCGTTGGGGTGGGGGGTCTGACTAAATAATCCCTGGGGGGGGGGGGGAGGAAGTGGTAAAAGAATATATTTTCTGTATAAATTCCATTTCGTTCTGAGGGGGGGGGGGGGGAGACTTTCTTCGGAGCCCTCCCCCTCCGAAGTAATGACTGGAAGAAATTCTGAACAACTGTCAAGTACCCATCAGAGCTGAGTTAACCCAGGAACGTCTTACGGAAACCCCAATATCCCAACTCGACTTTCGGGTTAGCAATCGGCCAGTCAAATCATCACCCCAAACGTAATACCCACTAACCACGTTGTCCTTGCCAATAGACAATGCGAGCGCAACGAGTCCAACCCACAGGAGAAGCTGGTGTTTCAGCCGTCGAGTAAACAGTGTGAGCCGTCCAGCGAAACGTGCACAAGCAATGATGAGATTGCAGAGAACTTGGTGAAAAATAAACGTAGGTTCAACTGTGGTTGGTTGTAGGTTGTGGTTCAATAGGTTCAACTGTGGTTTGTTGCAGGTTGTGGTTCAATTCTCTTTCCTGTTGTGGTCTGTAGAGCTGTAGCGTAACGATACGTATGCGGAGGGGCGGTCAGGACTTAGGGAAAACATTTTAAAAAATATTGTCAACATTTTCTATCCGGTTAAAAAAAAATAAAATAGTGTGAGAGGTTGTGTGAGAGGTGGCACCCCAAGTATGACACCCGACCTTACGGCGGTGCGGTGCTGGTTGGTGACCGGAAATATGCGCAACGGAAAACTGCGCACAATAATGCGCATAAGTGAATTTATTTATTTTTGTAAGTCAAGTATTCATAGACGTTAGCAAACATCGATCACATGTACATTGTAGAATGGTAAGCATTTTTTTTCACAGAATATTACAAAATTAAAGTTTATTAGTATTAATTAATAAGTATGTGCGCATTTATCTGTTTGCGCATTTTTCCGTTGCGCATTTTTTCCGTTGCGCATTTTTCCAACGGCGCATTTTTTCTGGGAACTCATCTTGTTAAGGGACGGTGCTTGAGCTTGCTGTGCCCACATTTAAGACTACAAAAATATATTCATAAAGTAAAAGCATACCAGACTTTGCCTGTTGCTGTTTCATTCAAGAGTCAGATAGCAAGTCATTGATAATTTAATTTAACTTGATGTTATTTCAGCAAGCAGCTGTGTCAACGATGACAATGACTGTAGTGGCCTGCCTGACGGAAACTATAAGATCTGCAAGGCTGAGTCTTGTCTGGCTGGGTTGTTCGCTAGTTGCAGTGGTGAGCTTTATTACGAGAGGTACGTCTTTGTTGATGTTATGTGTGTGTGTTTAGTGTACGGCTTTGTTGTTTAGTGTACGTCTTGTTGTTTAGTGTACGTCTTTGTTGATGTTATATGTGTATGTTTAGTGGGTTGATTTGTTGTTGTTATGTGTGTGTGTTTAGTGGGTTGATCTGTTGTTATGTGTGTGTGTATAGTGTTCGTCTTTGTTGATGTTATGTGTGTATGTTTAGTGGGTTGATTTGTTGATGTTATGTGTGTGTGTTTAGTGGGTTGATTTGTTGATGTTATGTGTGTGTGTGTTTAGTGTACGTCTTTGTTGATGTTATGTGTGTGTGTGTTTAGTGTACGTCTTTGTTGATGTTATGTGTGTGTGTGTTTAGTGTACGTCTTTGTTGATGTTATGTGTGTGTGTTTAGTGGGTTGATTTGTTGATGTTATGTGTGTGTGTTTAGTGGGTTGATTTGTTGATGTTATGTGTGTGTTTAGTGTTCGTCTTTGTTGATGTTATGTGTGTGTTTAGTGGGTTGATTTGGTGATGTTATGTGTGTGTTTAGTGTACGTCTTTGTTGATATTATGTGTGTGTTTAGTGGGTTGATTTGTTGTTATGTGTGTGTGTTTAGTGTACGACTTTGTTGATGTTATGTGTGTGTGTTTAGTGGGTTGATTTGTTGTTGTTATGTGTGTGTGTTTAGTGGGTTGATTTGTTGTTGTTATGTGTGTGTGTTTAGTTTACGTCTTTGTTCTTGTTATGTGTGTGTGTTTAGTGGTTTGAAAAGTTTGTATGTGTGTGTGTGTGTTTAGTATACGTCTTTATTGATGTTATGTGTGTGTGTTTAGTGGGTTGATCTGTTGTTATGTGTGTGTGTGTTTAGTGGGTTGATTTGTTGTTATGCGTGTGTGTGTTTAGTTGGTTGATTTGTTGTTGTTATGTGTGTGTGTTTAGTGGGTTGATTTGTTTTTAGTTATGTGTGTGTGTTTAGTGGGTTGATTTGTTGTTGTTATGTGTGTGAGTTTAGTGGGTTGATTTGTTGTTGTTGTGTGTGTGTGTGTTTAGTGTACGTCTTTATTGATGTTATGTGTGTGTGTTAAGTGGGTTGATTTGTTATGTTTGTGTGTTTAGTGAACGTCTTTGTTGATGTTATGTGTGTGTGTTTAGTGGGTTGATCTGTTGTTGTTATGTGTGTGTTAGTGGGTTGATTTGTTGTTGTTATGTGTGTGTGTGTTTAGTGGGTTGTTTTGTTGGTTTTATGTGTGTGTGTTTAGTGGGTTGATTTGTTGTTATTATGTGCGTGTGTTTAGTGGGTTAATTTGTTGTTGTTATGTGTGTGTGTGTTTAGTGGGTTGATTTGTTGTTGTTATGTGTGTGTGTGTTTAGTGTGTTGATTTGAGCGTTTGTGGTTTGTTTTTAGTTATGTGTGTGTGTGTGTTTAGTGTGTTGGTTGTTGTTGTTATGTGTGTGTGTGTGTTTAGTGGGTTGATCTGTTGTTATGTGCGTGTTAAGTGTGTTGATTTGTTGTTATGCGTGTGTGTGTTTAGTGGGTTGATTTGTTGTTGTTATGCGTGTGTGTGTTTAGTGGGTTGATCTGTTGTTGTTATGTGTGTGTGTTTAGTGGGTTGATATGTTGTTGTTATGTGTGTGTGTTTAGTGTACGTTTTTGTTGATGTTATGTGTGTGTGTTTAGTGGGTTGATCTGTTGTTATGTGTGTGTGTTTAGTCGGTTGATTTGTTGTTATGCGTGTGTGTGTTTAGTTGGTTGATTTGTTGTTGTTATGTGTGTGTTTTTAGTGGGTTGATTTGTTGTTGTTATGTGCGTGTTTAGTGGGTTGATTTGTTGTTGTTATGTGTGTGTGTTTAGTGGGTTGATTTGTTGTTGTTATGTGTGTGTGTGTTTAGTTTACGTCTTTATTGATGTTATGTGTGTGTGTGTTAAGTGGGTTGATTTGTTAAGTTAGTGTACGTCTTTGTTAATGTTATGTGTGTGTGTTTAGTGGGTTGATCTGTTGTTGTTATGTGTGTGTTAGTGGGTTTATTTGTTGTTATGTGTGTGTGTGTGTTTAGTGGGTTGATTTGTTGTTGTTATGTGTGTGTGTTTAGTGGGTTGATTTGTTGTTGTTATGTGTGTGTGTGTTTAGTGGGTTGTTTTGTTGTTGTTATGTGTGTGTGTTTAGTGGGTTGATCTGTTGTTATGTGTGTGTGTTTAGTGGGTTGATATGTTGTTGTTATGTGTGTGTGTTTAGTGTACGTCTTTGTTGATGTTATGTGTGTGTGTTTAGTGGGTTGAAATGTTGTTATGTGTGTGTGTGTTTAGTGTACGTCTTTGTTGATGTTATGTGTGTGTGTTTAGTGGGTTAATTTGTTGTTGTTATGTGTGTGTGTGTGTTTAGTGTGTTGATTTTAGCGTTTGCGGTTTGATTTTAGTTATGTGTGCGTGTTTAGTGGGTTGATTTGTTGTTGTTATGTGTGTGTGTGTTTAGTGGGTTGATCTGTTGTTATGTGTGTGTGTTTAGTGTGTTGATTTGTTGTTATGCGTGTGTGTATTTAGTGGGTTAATTTGTTGTTGTTATGCGTGTTTGTTTAGTAGGTTGATCTGTTGTTGTTATGTGTGTGTGTTTAAAGGGTTGAAATGTTGTAATGTGTGTGTGTGTGTTTAGTGTACGTCTTTGTTGTTGTTATGTGTGTGTGTTTAGTGGGTTGATCTGTTGTTATGCGTGTGTGTTTAGTGTGTTGATTTGTTGTTATTCGTGTGTGTGTTTAGTTGGTTGATTTGTTGTTGTTATGTGTGTGTGTTTAGTGGGTTGATTTGTTTTAGTTATGTGTGTGTGTGTTTAGTGGGTTGATTTGTTGTTGTTATGTGTGTGTGTTAAGTGGGTTGATTTGTTGTTGTTATGTGTGTGTATGTTTAGTGGGTTGATTTGTTGTTGTTATGTGTGTGTGTTTAGTGTACGTCTTTATTGATGTTATGTGTGTGTGTGTTAAGTGGGTTGATTTGTTATGTGTGTGTGTTTAGCTTTGTTGATGTTATGTGTGTGTGTGTTTAGTGGGTTAATTTGTTGTTGTTATGTGTGTGTGTGTGTTTAGTGGGTTGATTTGTTGTTGTTGTGTGTGTGTGTGTGTGTTTAGTGTGTTGATTTAAGCGTTTGCGGTTTGATTTTAGTTATGTGTGTGTGTTTAGTGGGTTGATTTGTTGTTGTTATATGTGTGTGTGTTTAGTGGGTTGATCTGTTGTTATGTGTGTGTGTTTAGTGTGTTGATTTGTTGTTATGCGTGTGTGTATTTAGTTTGTTGATTTGTTGTTGTTATGCGTGTGTGTGTTTAGTGGGTTGATCTGTTGTTGTTATGTGTGTGTGTTTAGTGGGTTGATATGCTGTTGTTATGTGTGTGTGTTTAGTGTACGTCTCTGTTGATGTTATGTGTGTGTGTTTAGTGGGTTGATTTATTTTTAGTTATGTTTGTGTGTTTAGTGGGTTAATTTGTTGTTGTTATGTGTGTGTGTTAAGTGGGTTGATTTGTTGTTGTTATGTGTGTGTGTGTTAAGTGGGTTGATTTGTTATGTTTGTGTGTTTAGTATACGTCTTTTTTGATGTTATGTGTGTGTGTGTGTGTTTAGTGGGTTGATCTGTTGTTGTTATGTGTGTGTTTAGTGGGTTGATCTGTTGTTATGTGTGTGTGTTTAGTGGGTTGATTTGTTTTTATGTGTGTGTGTGTGTGTTTAGTGGGTTGATCTGTTGTTGTTATGTGTGTGTTTAGTGGGTTGATCTGTTGTTATGTGTGTGTGTTTAGTGGGTTGATTTGTTTTTAGTTATATGTGTGTGTGTTTAGTGGGTTGTTTTGTTGTTGTTATGTGTGTGTGTTTAGTGGGTTGATTTGTTGGTTTTATGTGTGTGTGTGTTTAGTGGGTTGAAATGTTGTTATTATGTGTGTGTGTTTAGTGGGTTGATTTGTTGTTGCTATGTGTGTGTGTTTAGTGGGTTGATTTGCTGTTGTTATGTGTGTGTGTTTAGTGTGTTGATTTGAGCGTTTGTGGTTTGTTTTTAGTTATGTGTGTGTGTTTAGTGGGTTGATTTGTTGTTGTTATGCGTGTGTGTGTTTAGTGGGTTGATTTGTTGTTGTTCTGCGTGTGTGTGTTTAGTGGGTTGATTTGTTGGTTTTACGTGTGTGTGTTTAGTGGGTTGATTTCTTGTTATTATGTGTGTGTGTATTGTGGGTTGATATGTTGTTGTTATGTGTGTGTTTAGTGGGTTGATTTGTTGTTGTTATGTGTGTGTGTGTGTGTTAAGTGGGTTGATTTGTTGTTTTTATGTGTGTGTGTTTAGTGGGTTGATTTGTTGTTGTTATGTGTGTGTGTTTAGTGTGTTGATTTGAGCGTTTGTGGTTTGTTTTTAGTTATGTGTGTGTGTTTAGTGGGTTGATTTGTTGTTGTTATATTTGTGTGTTTAGTGGGTTGATTTGTTGTTGTTATGTGTGTGTGTGTGTGTGTGTTTAGTGGGTTGATTTGTTGTTGCTATGTGTGTGTGTTGAGTGTGTGTGTGTGTGTTTAGTGTGTTGATTTGAGCGTTTGTGGGTAATTTGTTAGTGAGGTGTGTTAGTGAAGTTGTAATTCTGTAGTTGTGTTAGTCGAAAGTGTGTAGTTGTGTTAGTTGTAAGTCTGTAGCTGTGCTAGTTGTGTGTAGCTGTGTTAGTTGTGTGTAGCTGTGTGAGTTGTGAATAGCTGTGTTCGTTGTAAGTGTGTATTGTGTTAGTTGTAAGTGTGTAGCTGTGTTAGTTTATTTAGTTGTAAGTATGTAGCTGTATTTGTTGTAAGTATGTAGCTGTGTTAGTTGTTATTGTGTAGCTGTGTTAGTTGTGTGTTGCCTTTAGGTGTGTGTCTGCTGTGTGTTGTCGTTTTTTTGTTGTTGCTGTGTTAGTTGTTGTCAGTGTGTTGCCTTGTGTTTCTGTGCTAGCTGTTAGTGTGTTGCCTTGTGTGTCACTGTGAAATTTATGTTAACGTGTTTGTGCCTGTGTCAGTTTTGTGTTGCCAAGTGTTTTGCTATCTTAGCTATTAACGTGCATATGTTAAATCTACTTCGTCACAAATCTGTGTGTAATAGCATACGTGTCTGTGTAAACTGTTTTTAGAAGAACACGCATCAAAATATTAACACAACAAAACTTGTAATTTTCTGGCTTCTAGGGAGTGCTCCCTAGGGTTGGACTACAGCGATCCAAACAAACAAGTCACCAAAAGGCTCATTTACCACCCCGAGACTGACTCCTGTGAATATTCAGCGGATATCTGTCACGAAAAAAACGAAGTCGCTGACAATAGTGACAATACCACCGCTAAAAGCAGTATGTATTCCATGACAAAATCATGTATGAGTATTTGTGAAGGTAATTAGAGTAATTTACGTGATTTTACAAAACACAAATACGTTTTGTTACATCTTGTTTGGTATGTATTCATATAATGTCTGCTAGTGACGTCTTGTATTTAAATAATTAAAAACAACACAACAGCCGACCAACCGGAGGGGGTGCTGTCACCCCGCTTTCACACCCCTTAACACCGCCGCGGGTCCGCTCGTTCAATATAATCAGAATATTCTAGATTTACACATCAATCTAACTACTCTATCTACAACTAAAGCTCGGCTTCTCCCTACACACTCCAATGACCAAAAATAACACTTAATTTCAACTCTACATCTTTCCTCTAGCACTACCTATCTCTAACTCAACATTTCAACTCTCTACATCTTTCCTCTAGCACTACCTATCTCTAACTCAACATTTCAACTCTCTACATCTTTCCTCTAGCACTACCTATCTCTAACTCAACATTTTAACTCTCTACATCTTTCCTCTACCACTACCTATCTCTAACTCAACATTTCAACTCTCTACATCTTTCCTCTAGCGCTACCCATCTCTAACTCAACATTTCAACTCTCTACATCTTTCCCCTAGCGCTACCTATCTCTAACTCAACATTTCAACTCTCTACATCTTTCCCTTAACGCTACCTATCTCTAACTTATCATTTCAACTCTCTACATCTTTCCCCTAGCGCTACCTATCTCTAACTCAACATTTCAACTCTCTACATCTTTCCCTTACCGCTACCTATCTCTAACTCATCATTTCAACTCTCTACATCTTTCCCTTACCGCTATCTATCTCTAACTGCTGACCCACGCTTCAATGGTCATCTGACCGTCCCACGTGACCGGCCTTCTCCTGCAATTCTATTGGTCCACCTGATTATCCTATGCTCTGTTTCTGCCATCCTCTGCTTGACCTGTATGACGTATAACTTGCGTCATCCCAATAATGATGATGATGATGATGATGATGATGAGGATGATGATGATGATGATGATGGTGATGATGATAATGATGATGATGATGATAATGATGATGATGATGATGATGATGATGACGATGACGATGATGATGGTGATGATGATGATGATGATGATTATGATGATGATGATGATGATGACGATGACAATGACGATGACGATGACGATGATGATTTACATTTACTCCTCTTAGACAAACCAGATTGTGTCGACAGCTGCAAAAACATGCCAGACGGCAACTACATGCTGTGCGGAGAACAGTGTAATGGCTACTACGCGACCTGCTCCAATGACGCGCTTCATAAAATGTAAGTCGCCAGTTTTTGGGAGAGTTCAGTTCACTCTGTCAAGTGGTCAGAGGCGTAACGAGGGGGGGGGGACGGGGGTGCGGACCGCACCGGGTGACACCATTTAGGGGGGTGACAGCAAGGCAAAAAATAGCAAAATAAATAGAGAAAAATTGGAGGGGGGGGGTGCAAATCAAAAGTTTGAGGGGGGGGGGTGCAAATCGTAAGTTTGAGGGGGGGGGGGTGCAAGTCGAAAATTTGAAAGTTTGTCCCCGGGACGCCTCTGGGGGGTGACACCATTAAGTGCCGCACCGGGTGACACCCGACCTCGCTACGCCACTGCAAGTGGTAATTAGTATAACCTCAGGTAAGATTAATTAGCACTGTCAGGTTGTAATTAGAGTAACCTCAAGTGAGATTAATTAAATTTGTAAGGTGATAATTAGAGTAATTTCAGGTGAGATTAATTAACTTTGTAAGGTGGTAATTAGAGTGATTTCAGGTGAGATTAATTAACACTGTCAGGTGGTAATTAGAGTAATTTCAGGTGAGATTAATTAACACTGTCATGTGGTGATTAGAGTAATTTCAGATGAGATTAATTAACACTGTCATGTGGTGATTAGAGTAATTGGGGTGAAGATAAAAAAAGCATTTAATGGACATTTTTGTAGGAACCCCCTCCCACAACAACATCCCCCCCCCCACAAGTGAAATACACCCTCCTCCCCCAACAATGTATTACACCTCCGAGTGTTTCTTCCAGACTTTTTTTTCCGTGGGGGGCGCCTAAAATTTTCGAGGGGGGTGGACTAAAATTTCCGGGGGGGGGGGGCTGGCACTGTTAAAAATATATATTTTCTATATAAATTCCATTTCGTTCGTGGGGGGGGGGGGGGGGGGGCTCCGTCGCCCCGAAGAGATACCTGGAAAAAACTCTGCACCTCCCCTCAACCGGAGATGAACGCTGCCCTAACATTAAAGACAACATATCTTACGATCTCCCGTCTTATATTCCCCAGGGAATGTGCACTCGGCTACCATACGCACCCCGATGGTGCAACCAACCTGACCAGGACGAACTACGAACCCTCTCAAGACAAGTGCCTGTTCACCACAAACTATTGTGATGGCTTTATCCGAGAGGCTTTATTGTCACATGTCAATGGTAATTATAATATTGTAAACTCCTTCCCTCCCTCTTCCTCTCCCTCTTTCTCTCTCTCCCCCTCTCTCTCTCTCTCTCTCTCTCTCTCTCTCTCTCTCTATATATATATATATATATGTATAAGTTATATATATTTATACTTATGCTTATATATGCCTATATATATATATATATATATATATATATATATATATATATATATATATATATATATATATATATATATAT